TTTACCATCTATTCCTATGCTCTGCATGGTTTGCAGAAACTGTCAGTCTGTGATTCATAAGGAACAGCTTTAAAAACATTAATCCAGAAAAAGCATTTGGAGAAACAGATACTACCAACAACAAATCCAAAAGCCATATGATGTGAACATGAGAAATATATCTAAATAACATTGAGAGCAGTTGAAGTTCTGCATGCACAGCAGCTGGACCCTGCAGGTGACACCCAATTTCTGTCCCTCCCTTCTGCCAGGTGAGATGCAGTGGCAGATGTACAATTCTTTTGTGGGGGCATTTCAGCTTTTCACCAGGTGAGACTGGGGGATAGAGCTACACGAAGAAAGAAAAACGAAATTGTATGAGGAACTGGAGGGAGGAAACACAGCAGAGTTTACTAGCAGCTGTGGGGGCTGGTGGGTTGCTGTGATCTGCCTGACTCAGCTGAACAGAGTTCTGCTCTTCATCTTTCAGAAGAGAAGGCTTTTCATATTTCTGTGTAAGAAAGCACTTATTTGGGGTTTGGGTCCTTTATGAGGACTTTGCTTTAACAGTTATTTTCTTCCATTTACAGAGTATCCAGCAGTGCACCAGATTATACCCATATTGTGAGGGGTATTTGCGCAAAAAGGTGACTTGCTTGGAAAAAGCATGTAAAGATAACTTGGGAGTCCAATTTGAGGTAACAGCTTGAGTTAGCCTCTGCAGAGGAGTCTGAGTTTGAAATCTAGCAGCTAAGAGGAGTTAAAATCTGACTTGTCTGTCTTCACAGCTTTTAATTGGAGTGATTTAGCTGGGTTAGTCAGCTTGTGTGACAAAGGTGTGTTTCCACAGTTCAGGCAGGCCCTCATGGCTCCAGCAGTGGTTCCTCTGAGGTGCCTACAAGACCATGACAAGGGTGAGCTGCCAGCCCATGGCAGGGGTAGCTACAACCAGAACTGGAAAGGCAGGAGGACAGAATAGCAGTTCCCCACATTATGTGTGCATGATCTTTTTTGTGTCATATCTTTATAGTTTGTGGCTGGGTGTCCTGTAAATTTGATTTTGTTTTTTAGAATGTAAACTTTTTATATTCCAAATCCTTTCAAAGATAACCATTACACTTCCTTTCTGATAAACAGTAATAATTCTTTTTACAGGTACACTCCTTTCCTAGTTCAGGGCTGGAGGATATTTTGGTTTGAATGTCATGTAATTTTGGGAAGTGTTTTCATTATAATTCTTCCATTTGTTTGGCAAGTGACTGCAGTGGGTGGAGGGAAACAGCAGAGTCCTCTGTGTGGACTTTTCTCTGCAGCTGCTCCTTGGATCCTCTGCAACTGCTGCTTTCCAGGTGTCTGGACATGAAGCAGACTACTATACACATGGCAGTAAATGGAAAAGTTAAGATACACTGAGCTAGCATGACACTTTGAGATTTACTAGGTACAAATCCTACCGCAAGCTGATTGCAGTCTCAATATTCTGGCATTTCAATGAGAGTAGTCTTTATTGGCTCAGTGCTCTGTGCTTAGCAGTCGTTTGTGTGACCTTCCAAACTTGTTTGGTCCAGCTGATCAGGTTATGAGATCTGTTAGGAAACCCAACCAACCATGAGGATTGTGGGCCTGTAGCACATCTCTGCAGAGCAGATAAACTACCAGAATCAAAGGACTAGGGGTCGACATTTTTGCTTTATGACAAGAAATCCTCAAGTCATTGTTATTTTTATTTTGAAACCCCCATTGTCTATTGGCTCTTTCTGGCAGGTCAGGGTGATGCAATTGAAAGGTAAGCATCTGTAAGACAAAGTTGAGGCTCTATTCCTAAGCCAAGACAAGCACATTTCTCTCAGGCAGCATAAATTCCTGCATTATTGCTAGGTGAATGATACGTATTTCAGCCTGCGTGACTGAGAAAATCCTGGGTAAAACAGTGGTCTTCAAGGTTCAGCTTTTCAGGCCTAAGTAGAGCAGTAAACTATTGCAAAAAATTTACAGAGGGCAAGATGCAGCCTAAAAGCCCATAGCATCCATTCTGGCAGAAAATACTTCCATTGTGCAGGGAGAAAAGTATCTCTCTGGTAACTCAGTGCCTAGGACAGTCACAGTGGCACAGGAACAGATCTCACTGTTCATGCTGTGTATCTCTGCATTGGCTCTGCTCTGATGCAAGCCCAGTGCAAGGCACGTCAGTCAGAGGAGTGCAGACCAGCAGAGAACTGGCTCAAGACTGAGCCATGGCTGTAAAAACAGTGTAAAAAGACCAAAAAAAAAAAAAAGTGTTGGAAAGTTTTGGTGTGAGGACCTGACTACTGAAAGCAGAGGAGGTGTTGCCACACTGTCTTGAGTGCTTTGGGGCAGGGCTCTGTTGCTTCATGCAGTAGGATGCCAAGTGCTCTGTAAACCAAGTATAGGATTTTCATGGCTTGTCAAAAACCAGTTCCACACCCTTCTTTGAATTATACGGATAGTTAATGCAAATGAGTTATTGGGAGACTGCTGCATACCACTGACTAAATTAACACACGCATCTAACCTGGGGTAGGAGGGAAAATAAGATTAAGTCGTCCCCCCTCCCCGGGCCCTCTCCAGTTTGTTTTTGTGCTGCTGTCTGGGGAATGCAATGCATGGCAGCAACATCCCTCCAGACACTGCCTACTGAGGGGTCAGGAGCAAATGATGAGGAATGTGTTGAATTATCTTGACACTTCCCAGATCTTACATGATGTAAAGGGAGTCGCTCATTAACAGAACAAGTGTCCAATCAAGTGTCTGAAAATAAAGCAGAAGGGTAGGCCTGACTTCTGTGGTCACACTGCTCCTCCTGACCCCTCTGCAGAGGCTGTTGACAGGAGTAACATCTGACAATGGCTTGTGCTCTTTTTAATGTACCAGTGATGCCCAGTGGTTGGATTGGGGTTTTTTTCTTCCCAAAACCTTAGAGCTAATGTGGATTTTGGCACTGCAGATGCAGTCTTCCCATGCTGAGGATGGATGAAAAGGCTAGTTAAAAGGTGAGTCCAAAAGGGGGAGTTTTACCCTTTGGAGGCCTCTGAGGATCTATTCACCCATGTAACATCTTCATGTGGTGGAGGAGAACATGGTAATTAAAATCCTGCTCTAAAGTACCTGAAGCCAGAACAAACAGACACACAAACAAGCTAATCCGTTAATGATCATTTAAGGGACTGAACAAAGAGTCACTCACATGTCCCGGCAGTTAACAGGAGCTGGCACTTTGGTGCACCCGAGGAGTGTGAGAGGAGGGAAGGGAAGTGCATGCTCCAGGTTTGTCCAGACTAGCAACCCCTACCTCTGCTGGCACCTGCACCTCTGGCATGAAGAGCAGAACGGTTTGCTCTGCTGTGCTGCCCAAGACAAAACTCTCTCGTACCGTTTCAAAGGTGGCAGCAGAGCCCAAGTGGCTGCAGCTGGAATTTTATTTGGCCCCAAATCAACCACATCCAGTGTCAGTGATGGCTGGTGTACTCATGCAGACAAGGGCTTACTAGGAGCCACATCCTTTAGAGACATCAGGGAATTTGGGGCCAGTAGTAGTGGTTAAGGGACAATACAGCTTCTCAGAGCCTTGCGAGTCGTTACTCAAAACACAGCGGGAATGCTGTCAACTTACGTCCGTACCAACCTGCTCTCCCCCCCGCTCCATCAATCACTCCGGCCGCACACCCACGCCGTGCGCTGCCGGCACCGCGGACACACCTCCCAGCGCGCTGCTCCGCGCTTTCGGGAGGGCGCGGTCCCGCTTTCCGCAGCAAACGTGGAACAACCTCCTCACGGGTGCCCTCCGCACAGCTCCTCTCTCCGCACAGCTCCTCTCCCCGCACAGCTCCT